CCACTGTTTGAACTAATTACAATAATCGCTTATGACTTTCCTACTTGACGTATTTATTATTATTATTATTATTATTATTATTATTATTATTATTAAGGGGCACGCTGCACTTATTATTATAATCGATTTCCATACAGACAATGGACACTCAGCATCAGTAAGTACTTGTACGCGCCTATAAATATTATAAGACTGCATTTATTGACGGCGATCATTAGGTATTATACACTATTGTAATAATATGTCACTAAATACTTTGACTCCGAATATGGTTGTACGTCTGTAAGACTGTACCTAACCAACTACCTATAAATTAATAGGTGTGTCAAACTAACAAGTTGAAAATAAAATATTACCTTTATACCTACATAATATCCTACAGTTCAAAGTTATGACGAATTCATCGAATGATCAAGTATAAAACTATATTGATTTATTTTTCATTACTTTAATCTTTTGTAATCAAATGTGTTAAATTTCTAACTATATAACAAATTAAGAATAAAATTAATGTATTTTTATGTTTCACTATTTCAAAATACATTATAAAATTGATTACCTAGTGATAATATATAGGTACTCATACTCATACTTAAATGTATTTTTTTCGAAAGTTTTAAAGAATTTTACATTAAAATAGTATGGTGTTAGGTATTAAGGTATCTATTTAAAAAATACAATATATTATATTATAGTATGTAGTTGAAATCTATTGTAGTCACATACGTGGATAATTTGCTAACGGAAAGTGTACAAATGAATGACCACAGTATGTTTTTTGTTATCAAAAAACTATTAAGTTTGCACATGATATGAAGTATGTGCAGCTAATTACACGCTTAATAAAATATATTGTTATCAGTTATCACTTATCAGCGTTCACCTACAATAATGGTCGTCCAATGCATATCAAGTCTCAATAAATTTCACCGACCACCGTGTAGCTCACAATTATTATTATTATTATTATAACCAAAGAACGATTGCAACTAAATATTGATTATTACTACTATTTGTAATGGTTATGTGGGTATAAGTGTAAAATATAAACTTGAATATTGGTTTCAGTGTGTTGTACATTGTTGTGGTTTAAAAGCAATAAAATTTTACACTATAGTTCATAAAAAAAATCTGATAAATATTAGTCATTGTTTAACTATACATCCAACTACCATTTCACATTCAAACTAAACATAAAATATAACTCTTTTCTTAGAAATAATTACAATGTGTTAATATTTTTGTCATTACTTAACATAATTTAATATTATATACTAATATATATGTACACACACATATTATATTATATATTTATATTTTATATACTATATATCCGTCAAAACGTACAAATGATAAGTTATTACTTATAAGCTAGGTAGGTACAATAAACTATTTGTGGTAGGTATCTTTTTCAAGGTAAATTCAATACTGAAAAATATTTTATCTATAGAACGTAATGCATATGTATAATACCTACGCGTCAAAATTACTTTTCAAATTTAACGAGGTAATAATACAAATTATTGTGACCGCTATAAACCACTATATTAAACTGTTGAGCGCTTTGAAAAAAAGGTCGCCAGTTGGGATGTGTATACGTACAGTTCTGTCTTATTGTACTGAAGAAATCAACATAGGTACATTCGAAAACGAATACCTACCAAAATTATGATTAAAATAACGAGAAAAGTTAAGTTATATTGTTTCCATATAAATATAACGATGCATCATAGCAGGTGTTTCATAGGGCCACAAAAATAATGATATTATTTTAAATAAAAATTACCATTTTGCATGTACGTATAGTTGAAATAATATACATTTTGTTTAGAAAATAACACAACAGGTGAATAGTGTAAATTAATTTATTGTATTTGTGCTAATTACCCATTTACAATTGCCGTTTATTATTACACACCTATGGGATTGTTGCCGGCATTGTGTAGCGACACACATATTTTTTTTTAAATGAAAATCATTGTACGTATTATAATTTTTTTCTTCGGAATATTGCTTTCCCTATCATAAAACTAACATATTACTATTAATATTGTAATGAACTGAAAATTAATATTTACATATGTATAGTTTACCAAATTGCAAAACATCATTAGACGGCATTTGTCGTTATTAGGGAATTCGGGTTTTTTTTCCCCATTGCATGATGATCGGAATAATAAATTAACGAGTGTGCGCGTGTATATTCGGTAATTATGATTTTTTTATAATAATTATTGTTACGGACACGCCAATGCTTTCGGGTTTATACCATATTATAATGTTTACATTACGGATAGGTTCAGGCCGTGAATTACCTACAGTTTATAGACACCACGCGGTATTCAATTGCACGAGGTATACAACTGTCAACCTTCGACAATATTGTGTTTTATTCAATAGGTACGAATAAAAAATAAAATATATAGCCTACCACAAAGTCCAAAAATTCGTTATTAAAATATACAAAATTCACAAACATCAAATAACACTTGCTGAAATATATAGACTATAGAGATAAGTTGTCAGTATTTAAAAACATTTTTAAAATATGTTCTACTTATACACATTAAACATTTTAAATTTGAATAAATAAATATTAATATGACTCTACTTTATTACTTTTACATCATTTTTGTCATTATCGATTAATATAATATAATTATATCATTTATATCTATACATACAGAAAATGTATAGTTTTTAGTTATTAGGTACAGTAAATGTACCCAGTACCCATAAATATTTAGCTTATAGCCTAATTGCAGGGTTGTATTTTATGATGTTTAACTATATTATAGTCAAACAATTTGCTGCAAATACTTAATTCCTATTAAGGCTTGTTGACGTGATTATAAATATTACAGGTATTAAGTATACCCAAGTACCTAATACCTGTCTGTCATAAAATTCGCAATTAATTCAGAATTAAGTACATACCTACTAATGCGGTATGAGAATTTGATGTTTATAGGGGCATACGCCCTATAGTGCAAACTGAACAGATTAAAATATATATTTCAAAAAACAATTTTAACTCCGACCTCTGACCTGAGTTTGAAATAAAATCGTCAAATTTAAAGGCATTGTTATAATGGTAAAGAGAAGATCGAACGTAAGATGGAAAAAAAAGGCAATAACACGGCCGCTCGATTATTATTACAGACTTGTCAGAAATTGGTATTGTGTTGCAATGTTGAATATTTTATATTAGGTTGGCTATACACAAACCTTATACAGAGACCGAGTCCATTATTATTAAATGAAATAATAAAAATAAAACCGATACTTTTTTATAGCCAAATAAAACAAAAACCGAAAAAAATATAATATAATACATGCCTGAGACGTGTTTTATTTGGAACGAACGTGGAGGCAATGTATAACCGGGCGGCCGTAAATCTATACGTTTTGGTCGATTTTTTTTAATATCTGATTTTAAACGTCACGTTTACGATTTCGGCAGGACTCATGAAAATTCGCTTTACAAAGAATCAAGGGATATAAAATACGCTCATGTTTGTAGATTTGAATTTACACAACTTGTTTCTACACGCGAAGTAGGTACCTATTCACATCCATTTTTATACAAGGCCAAGAATTGTAAATTATAATGTTATAACTTATAATATTATATATTATTCGTATTGTTATAGATAGGTACATATCTCATAGTAATAATATTTTGTAACAGTGTAATATTCTTAAAAGGATATTAAAAAAAAAATGCTTTATATTTAATTATAATTAACCTGTAGTCTTAATAACAATACAATCATCAAGCAGTTAAAGACCGTACACAAATAATTATATACGGAGAAAACGATACTCGTGCTCTGTTACTGCAAATTAAATTAAATAATACTACATTTTTCATTTGTTAATGGTCAAGAATGTCGAGGTTTTATAGCTATATTTTACATGCTATAAATCATTAAACGCTCGTGTTTAGATAATTTGGAAATATATTTTAATTTTGATAATATCAGTTTTTATGGAAACTACGTGGACTATACCATTTTGTATTTTTATTTTTTTCATTATAGAACATTACACGAATGGAATATATTTTATATTTTTTTGCGATAATATTATATACTAGACTTAAAGCATCGTAAAAACATCCATTATATTCCATTTGAGTTATTATTATTATTATTTTTAACATTGTACGCAAATAAGTATAGTGACATTACCGATGCTAATCCAGAAACAAAATAATAATAACAACAATTTGTAATTTCGCATACCTTGTTCCTGCATGTAACTGAACAGTGAATCCAGGAAACTGCGTCTGTCCGTTTCGTTGCCAGCCGTATATAACTGAAAAATATAAATGCATAAGTCAATATCGTGATTATAGTTTTACATTTGTAATACGAGTAAACTATTTACGGGTGTGTACAAAAAACCGAAATCGGCTGTGAATTAATTTTTGTATTTTAAAGGTTCGTACTTTTTGGCTTTTATAATACGATATTATACCTATAGATTATGAACACGATATCTATTTAAAAACAATAATTAATAAGGTCGATGTATACTGCATTATTGCTGGAACTTGTGACAGTGTGACACGTACCAATGACCAATGGGTATAGAAAACGTTTTTGAAAGTATAACATGATCGAGAGTTGGTACACCTTATTAATATAAAATAATATATAATTTTACAACGTCTATATAGAGATCACAAAATTTAGTAACGCAATAGTTCTAGAACACATTACACTACACACTCATTAACACTTAATTTACTTTATTTTATATTTTTCACATTGCAGGTAGGGTTGCCAACTTTGGAATTAAAAAATACCGGCCCAAGTGTACAAAAAAAAAAAAAAAAAAAAGGTCATCATTTTTTAATATTAATATAATAAAATGACGAATAATATAATTAATTACATACGTTAAAATAAAAAAATTAATAATATTAGTATTACATTATGTTAAACTTTAATATTATAAACTTATAAATTATTATAATAACTATTATAAATAAACTATTGTAAACTTTTAAATTTATATTTAGCGGCATTTTTCACGGCGTTTAATAAATGTTTTTCATTTTGTATTTGATCAAAAAACTCTGAACAATTGTATGTTATGTTATTTCTTATGACTAGTTCGGCTTTAACTGTATCAATTCCTAATCGATTGCGCTCATCTGTCCACAAACTATTCATGTGGCTAAAAACGCGTTCAACAAATGCATTGCTACACGGCACCGAGAATACATACTGTACAATTTGTTTAATATTTTTTAATTGTGCAGTAGATGATTGGAAAAATTTTACCCATTTTTCCGAACTAGTGAATTCTGTGTTATTTAGGATATCATTTGGTAATAACTTTATCAAATTAAGCTCTTCATACAGTTCATCTCCATTGACATGAACCTTAATTAATTTGGCCAGATCGAGTAAATCTGTTAATTTAGGTAATTCACTTAATTTCAAACACGAAAACATTTTGAATGGAGAGTTTTCATAATCAAACCATTTTTCGAGGTATTCTAATGCACGTTTGTAAGTATGTAGAGCATCAGATTTAAATGCATCGTTTTCTTTGCTAGTAAGATTAGGTAATCGTGTAGTTACTGCAATTCCAAAGAAATTATCATTTTTACGATTTAAAATTTGAGATCTTAAACTTAACATTACATCATAGACTTCTGGAGCGTTTAAATTATTTTTTTCTAATATTAAAATATGTTTTTGAAAAATGGACAACACATGATGAACAAACCAAATGTAACATTCTCTTAAAGTTAACTGTTCAGAAAGTTCATTTTTCTGATCTTCAATAAATGTCCATATGATTTTATCACATTCATTTTTTCCTTTTTTTATAAAATAAGTTTTAATTGCATTCCAATTTAAAATTAATCGGTCCACGGCATTAAACAAACTCAGCCATCTCACCGGAATATGTCGCAATACATTATGATAGTCCTGTTGTACAAATTCGAAACATTCTTTAAGTTCATCTACTCTTTTGGAGCTCATAGAAAATTCATTAAAAACTTTTAATACCAACGTTTCTACATCGTATTTTATAACTTTCATGGAATGCTTTGCTGCGTTATGAATCACATGACAGTTACAATTAGCTTTAATTATATTGGATTTTTTATTTTTTAATTTTTCGAAGACCGAACAATGTTTTCCATAATTAACAGAGGCATTATCGGCACCAAAAGCTGTTATATTTTTTATATCTAAGCCAAGAGATTCAATTGCAGAAGTAATCGTGTCAAAAATTGACTGTGAAGATTCGTTTGGTTCCTCGTAAAAGTCTAAAAGGTAATCTTTCACTCCGTCTTCAAAATTAAATAACCTAACCGCTAATGGAAAAAATTTTCTATTTCCCTTATTTGAAGCGTCTGTAGATATAGAAAAGGGAATAGGAGTAGGACATTTGAGTTTTATTACTGCTTTTTCAATAGCGAACGGACATAGTACATTTTTGACGATAGCTTCCATTTTCGTTCTACCCAGGTGGACTTTATTAGCTATCGTTGAATCTGAGAAATGTTTCGACTCTAATTTTACTCCACAATCGCTGGAAAGATAGCTATGATGGTGTTTAACTACATGAAAACACTTACTCAGTTCAACGGCTGCTATTTTGTCTTCATCTTTATCATTCTTTGTAGGAAAAAACTTTTTTATAGTGGACGATTTATTTATAGAATTGACGGATTCTTCATGTTTTTTTGATTCTTGATGTGTTTTTACAGCTTTAACGCCATCATACTTAACACTAAAAACTGTCTGACATAATATACATCGTGCTTTATTAGGGTTATTGTGTTTAGCGATCCAATCAGAAAATATTTGATCTTTTAACCATTCATCGTTAAAAACACAATTACGAATTCTTTTTTTCGTTTCATTTTCGTTCATTTTAAAAATGCGTATAATTTTTCAATCAAGTATATACAATGTAAAATTAATAGGTACTACCGAACAGTCCGAACAGAATAACGAAACTAAACTCTATTATGAATCGTCTATCACATATTCACCAACGAGAACGGCATAATAGGAACAACTAACAAGGTACATACTAATCATAGTACTCATAAAAATGTCAAAAAGGACGATAGATATCTGAAGTCATTAAGATAGGTATACGATTTATTGACAGTAACATGTGATAATCAATTTCATAAAAATGATAAAATATTAATATATAATATCAAAACTCTCGATCAGGTGGAATTACTGGGTTTTTATAATTTTACAATATTATTACTTTGAAAATACCGGCTTTTTATAGGTCAATACCGGCAACCGGCTTTTTAAGTCTAAATATGTGAAATACCGGCCGGGCCGGGAAAATACCGGCCGGTTGGCAACCCTGATTGCAGGTTGTGGCTATGTTTGTATAAATAATAATTATTATGCATTATAACAACAATAATATCATTAATCAAGCATAGCCGCAAAGGTTTATTTTATTTATGGTCGACAAAAGTATTGATACATATAATATTTTGGTGTAGGTCGTGCATCATAGTTTGTCAAAAAATATAATCCTATTTTAAAATAAAATGTTTAAACATAGTTTTACCAAGAATCACTGAGAATTTTATTTTCAATAGACTTTAAGTAATTAATTTCTTAAAAGGTTAGGTCTAATAGGTAAAAATTATATTTTACTCGTTCATCAAACAAATATTATTAAAAACTCAATATTATAGGTAAGTTTTTTTTTCCTTGCCTATGTGACACCTTAATAACACGTTTACTTGGCGCAAAGACAATTGTTCCCACGGCAATTAAACGCTTAGGTATTCATCCGCATGTAAATACCGATGGAGTGTACATAGTTTCTATTTTTCTATACAGATAAAATATATGATGGAATTTGTTTTCGGTCCGTATCGAAACACTCCACTCTACATGCATTATATACATATCTCTGTAAACGAACCGCGCTAAACGAAATTAATGGTTTCCGTGTCATTGTTAAATTAATAATTATAATAATAATAATAAAAAAAAAAAAAAAATTTATAATAATAATAAAAAAAATCAGAGACGTAGGATTTTTCCTCTACGCACACGAAAGCGGTCCGATCGGAGGTCCTGCGGAGTTCAAGGGGTCTAATGCGCGTCTAATTAATTGGCTTTTCATGGCGTGGTAGTAAAAATAATATTAATTACCGGCCGTTTATCGTATCTGCAGCTATTTGCCTCTCCTATTGTTATTATTTATATTGTGATTATTGTTTAATGGCAGTGATCCCACTGTGATCGAGACCTAATCTCCCGGGCATTACATATTCGGCTAGACGGCGGCGCGCGCGGTATGGTATAGGTTAGAAGGATGGGTTGTGGTGGTAATATTCACCGTGGATGATGAGAGGGTAGTAGTGAGGGGGGCACTCGAGCATTGTTTATTGGTATATTGTTGTTTATATTATAATATATACGTATATTATGATTTCGTTATTATTATTATTATTATTTAATTTAGTTTCTCGTTTTTACTATCACACTGTGTACAATAATATATGTATATAATATATAATAATAATATTATATTATATTATTATAGCCTATCGTAACCTATTAGCTTGAGCGATAATGTTTGATTTCTGTACAGACTCGATGCTCGGCCCACGCGTGCACGACCACCGCGCAGTCACGAACCACTGCAGCAGCAATCGGATGTAATTCGATAATAATATAATACTGAGTCGGGCGTTTGAATTACAATAATAATTTTATAATCCTGCTGCAACGGACGCGGTCGTTCATCATTTACCCGAGTGCCCGGAACACTGGCCCGTGGCTGTTTTTTGACATCCACCGAGTACCGATTTACATATATCTACGCACTAAAACATGTATCATAATAATATAATAATATTATACTAATATTGCAGTGTTATCGTCGTACGTACGACTAAAACGCATATATTTCGTAAAAGAATCGAAATGTATATGCACCTAAATGCATAAATATGGTGCGTTAAAACTATACTATTAGGTATTACTTTAGACTACTTATCTATATATAATATTTAGTTGGTGCTCAGAAAATAAAACAAATAAGTCGACGAATGCAAAGAGATACATCATCATGGGATGAAATCGATATGTAAATGGCACTTAATCACCGGTGTAGCGAGAAAAAAATATTGATACGCCCACTGTGTATTTTTTAAATCGACTCAAGTGTTGATATTTTAAACGGATTCTACTTCGAATAAAATAATAAATATGTTTTACAACACATAAGGTGTTAGAAATCAAATAAGCGAGGACGCGGAGTAATTTAATAAATGTTTTAAGTTTCAGATTAATAAATCTAAAATATTCTGTTGTATACGGTATCAACAAAACGTCAACGAAATAATTAACAGTTCTAATAAAGTATTGTAGAATTAAAAAAATATGTAAGTACTAATAACACAAGGTCTTAAAAACGTAGGTATATACCTACATAGCTATAGTTATTTATTATACTTAAAATATCTGTTTGTTTTATTTTTCAAAATGCCTCGACAAAAAGAGAAAGAGTTGTGCGTAATTTACATAACAACTAGAAAACCATTATACATAACTTCCTTAGACAAACTATAAAATAACAAAACGTCGTAACTCTAATAATACTCTAAGTCTCTTTGTATATTCTGTTGTCTCGTTGTTTACAAACCAGAACCGATTGAGTCTGCAGTGTAATTAATATATTATACATATAGTAATAACCTATTTGATTATATGATTAAACCGATATAATGACATATTATATTTTATGACCGTATCGTAAAGATTTGAAAGATTAACCTTATCAGTTACCTATCACTTATCGTTATATTGAAGATCGTGAGGACGAATCCGCCGACAGTCCCAGCCACCGTTCCCCCTTAGAAAATATGTGTAGGTACTGTCAACACATCATATAGGTGTCAACATTTGGTTAACCACACACATACACGAGCGTGGTTTTTGTATTCATTGGGTTGCACAAACACCCGGTGGACAGGGTCTTAAGAGATGATGGTCTCGTGAACACGAATAAAAGGACTCGTCGCATAGGTGTAGATTAGTGAGCGTATATAACATGTTTTCGGCCCCTCGCTGAGCCTTATTCCGATAATCATTGAACGCATTTAAAAAAATTATTATTATATAAAAATGACAACAATACGTCGCAGGAGGGAAAACGACGAAAAACGTCTCATTAGCGAGGATTGCAGCGTTATTATCATATCTAGTCCTTTGTTGTTTCTATTATATTATAGTAATAAATATACGCATGAACTGTCTGTTTTCTCCAATTTCGGTTTTTACTGTCGAAAATTGTTCTACCGTCAATAAAGAAGTGAGTCACGTCAATATAGCTGCTGTTCCAATCGTATTTAGCCATAAATATCGAAGAAATAGTCTTGCATTTTTTTACTTGAACATTAGGTTAATCATAGCAATCATAATATACATTATAATATACAATAAGTTGTAACTTGTAGTTGTAGACTGTATAGCTACTAGTTTTTGACTTCTTTACTTATACAGTTATATTTGAATATAGGTACCTTATTATATTAAATATTTTAACTTCGTACAAAATAGCTGACATCTTAATAAAATACAAAATCTGTACCTAACAAAACGCAGAAAAAGATAAAAAAATAATTTTAGTAATTAATTAAAATAGTTAAATTTTTTAATATTACCTAGGAAACAATATTTAATTATTTAATTAATTAAAATACAATTAACGGGGTATAGTTAGTATGTGAATGTGAATAATACAATATTAACTATGTAGGTAATACGTACAGTGTTTCGAATGGTATTTAAAATCAAATTAAATATGATATATATTTTGTATAAAATTAAAATATAACTCAGAAATATAGATTGATTAGAATATAAGGTTCAAACTGTAAAATTTTAACTGTTATAAATTATTTAGGTATTGATTCAAATTTAAATGTCTCACTTATTATTCAAACACTAAAAATATATTATTTATTGTGTTTATGTGTATTTCGTTACGTTCATTTGGAAAATATTCAGTACTTATCAGCTGCCAAATTAATTATTTTAGAATATACTTGAATAGCGAACACTGGGGTTTACTACGATGACACCGGTCAAAATTTCCCACAGAAAAACAATTATAAACAACTTAATGTTCATATGCCCTTTAAATTGGAGACAACATTGGGGTGGACGAAAAATCGTTGACCACCCTATGATCCGACGATCAGTTAAACTTGGTATATAATATTATACAGTTGTTGTAATAGCTTTTAACAGCAGTAATTTATATGCTTCAATAATTGTACGTATTGCCATGAATCATAATGTATCGGGGTTAAAATATTAATAAATTTAGTATAAAATTCAAATTATACTCAATAATCTATATAATATAAAATATGGACCTATGAGAGAGTACATAAATAATTACCAAAAACCAATGATCAATAAACAAATTAAATTTAGGTCAATACATAAAATTATACATAATATCTAATTTTCAATTATTCAAATTCGGAACTTGATTAAAATTATATGCATACCTATATAATAGTTAGAAACAATACTATTGGTAGCCATAAAACAATTTTAAATAAAAGTATCTTTATATCTGCCATCACATAATATGTATTATATATACCTATATAATATTATGTATAAAATATAAAATAATACACACTAGCATAAAAATAAATGTACCTAGACTAATTTATAAAGTGTTTATGTGTTATGACTTATGAATGATGATGATCATCATTCGTTGTAGAAAACAATTTACAGTTTAATTGATAGCCACCATCCGCATTTTGTAATAACATAATAGGATGTATTCATATAAGATATCAGTATTAAAAATTAAATTTTTCAATACATTCTACCTTTATCCAAATAGCCTATATATC